CTGCCTAATAAGTTTGGATTTATCATCAAAGCAACTGATGCTGATTGCATCCATTATATGGTGCTTATAATTTGAACCTACTACCCATTTTTTAATTTATGTAGGCCATAGATAGAGCATCTGCAACATGAAATATATGAGTTTGTAAACCTCAAAAAAGGAAGAAAAAAAGCCACAATTATAGGACAACCATGTTTCCACTTTTTCTGGCTGGCCTGTGTTTTTGTTTTCTAGTAAATGACTGAAAGGCTTTTCATCTGCTTCTAACAAGGCATGAATGAGTAACAACAGATGAGACTAGTGGGAGGTAATTTTGTCTCCTTCCTGTTTCAGGAAACCTTTTTAAACTTGATATGCTTAAAGCTAAAGATAAGATAAGCAAATGAAACGGAAGCTAGTCAGGCTCGCCAGATTAGAAGGTGCATTCTGAAATCACTGTTTTGATCCCTTAAGCAGCAGTTTACATCTCTTGAAAAGAGGTTTAACTCAGATGCTAATTACCCTCAGATGCCTTGTTTTTCCTTCCTTACACCTGCCTTTGACTTCTAAGGTTAGTAAGTTTATAGAGTTGCAAGTTTTTACATGTTCTTGATGATACAGAATCCTTTTGTTTGTTAGAGTTTTGTTACCAATTTTGGCATCCTGCAAATGTGCTTAAACTTGAATTTGGTAAGGTAAGATTTGGTTCAGTTTCTGAAATCCCATGATGTGAGGGCCCAAAACTGGGTGGTGGACTACATGCTTTTCATCTTATATTCAGTTCCCAATCATTCTAGTTAAGAGTTTCAGATTAGCAGGAATGCTATTTGAAGGATTTCTAGATTGAATCCATAGTCTGAAACCCTGGCAAACCAGAGGCTATCAAACATTGTGGCTTAAGAATCTCACTGGTATTTAGTTTAGCCACTGTATGAGGAGGACTTTTCTTAGTGGCCAGATAGGACAGCAGATGATAATAGCATTCATTTGAAGAAAGCCCAGAGAAATACCTCTAGCTGCAATAGACTCTGCAGTATATCAGTTGACTCTACCATCCCCAATCTCCTGCTTCTTCTGGATACATGACTGCTCCCCCCCAAACAAGGCACTATTGTTTCCCTTGACTTTGAATATGCACACCTTGACACAATGGGCTACTAGGTTCAGAGGATAGGAAGGAAGTTACACAGGAGACTGTCTCTAAAAAGGCCATTGAAAGTGAAGGTCTAAGAGCTAAATACAAAGCACCCATGAGTTGGCTATAGCTTATTTACTTCTTATACTAACAAGACAGTAGTTTGTTATAAGTATACAATTGCTTTATATGTGTTTGTGGATTTTTAATGAAGCTCTGATTTTAACCTGGCCTTGTAAATGTTCAGGTTCTTAAAAAATTGTCAACTATTATAGTTTTTGCATGCATTTTGGAGAAGAACATAGGATATATTCTGTATATTATTTATAGAATGTTTCCATTCTCCCTCCCTTCTTTTAAATCTGTACGGTTGTAATGAATTATGGGGAAATAAACAATATTCATACCTAGAAAGCCTCCCCATTCATATTTACCCTATAATATAAGCTCATTTGGGGTACGTTTGTGAATGTCTGGTTTCCAAGTAAGAACAGTATCTTTGAGCTATATCATTGGGATTTTTATAAGTGCAATTAAAATTTAGTAGTATATTTTAACTACCAGAATAGTGTGATATACATCCTGGCTTGAATGCTTTTAATTCAAAATCCTAATAAAAGAGGAGTCCAGTTTTCCTCAGAGATACATCTGAAATATTAAAACAGCAGCATAAACAGCAAGGATCTCACCCCATTGTTATATTGACTAATTCTGAATATATATTTATGCTTCATAAATAATAAAAGTGTGATTAAGAATTAGAAAAGTTTTCATGTTGAACTGCTAGAAGTTGAAATGTAAGATCATGCCTCTTACTACCAGAACAGTTTACCAGTAAATTCCCCAGGATTAAAAAAACAAAACAAAACCTTACTGTAGGTGAAAAACAAACTTTTGCCCTGGAGTCCCAACCTAAATTCATTTGTATTGCAACTCTGTAGGAGGCAAGGAATTGATTTAATCCATTGATTGTTCTGACAGAAGAGAAAACAATGCTTGGTTTTTTTTCTGTCAACATAATGGAAGCCAAGAAAGTGCTGAAGGATGGTTTGAAGAAGCTGTCCAGGCAGGTTTTGCTAAAGCTTTGTGGAAAAAAAAAATCAATTGTTGCTAGATAATATATTATTTCTTTGTTCATTCTTGAGTATCCATTTTTATGTTCTTAAAAGAGGTGGAAGGATAGCATTGGAACAAGGAAAACATTTTGTGTAGATTGTACATAGAAGGCTTGAAACACTTTTTCCTTTTCCAAGTTGATTTCCAAACACTTATTAATATACTGCATTTTTCATTATCTCCCTAATTATATCTTGTTGAAATATCTTTTGGACACATTAATACAAAGTACTGTATATTTTTCATTTTGTGCAGCTACTGTACAACCATTTATTAAAGTGAAGAAACATTAACCAAATTGATGCACAATGTCACCACTGTCCAGTACTATCTTGTAGATGAGCAACAAGCTTTGGGGGGAAAATGAAGATAAATGTACCCAGTTAAACCAGTTAGTGAAGCAGCACTGAGAATCTGGAGGGTTAGCCTAGAGCAGTGTTGTCCAAACTTGGCCACTTTAAGATGAGTGGACTTCAACTCCCAGAATTCCCCAGCCAGCTGGCTG